ATTCGATGGTGAGGGGGGGGGGCACAAAAACGCTCACGAAGATGGGCCCGGGGGTGTGCGTGGGGCAATCATGAGGCGGTGAAGGTAGATCGTCGGAGAAGCGTTGGGTGCACGACACGTGGGGATGGCAGTCAGATCCCTGCTAGCGCCCTTATTGGTTGGAGCCAAGCAACAGCCAATAGGAGCATTTCAAGCCCTCCTATTGGTCGCCGCAAAAAACAACCAATGAGAGCTCGCCTACTGGCCACAGCAGAGCAATAGCCAATGGGAACCATCCTATTGGCTGAAGCTTAGTAACATCCAGTGAGAGCTCGAACGCAGCAGCCGAGCAACTGCCAATATGAGCCGGGAATTTCCTATGATCCTTAGAACAGACCTGCTTGCGACTCCACATAAGAGCCTATCACTGAGAGCACGACTAAGTGTGAACATTAGAGGCACACGGTAAGCGTTGCTGATTCGAGTAGCTAACACCCGTTATCGAGAGGTTTCAGTTGATTTGACGTCGAGCGCCAAACCGCTACAGACTAAAGCTGTCCCAAATGTCGTTTCATGCGCGACTTATGGGACAACGACCAGCTCACTTAAGCATACACCCAATAGCAGCTCACTGGGATGCGGAGCGTAACGCTCGCCTACCGCCGCTACAGCACCTATAACGACTAGGCTGTAGAAGAGGTCTGATCTACCACTGATGGACTGATAACCGCGAGAAGGCCAAACTGGGGTAGAAAACTTTGCTTAAAATCACAATTGGTACCTTATTAACAACGATAATATAATGCGCTTCTCGATTATGACGCGATTTCGTAACATCACAGACTACGATCATTACCTAGGTAATAACGAAAGCAGAGCAGTTGCCACCATTTGGGGCAGGCAACGCTGACTGCTCATAAGTGCTGGGCTAGCCGCCCGTTCAGAGGGGCTGCAGTACGACGGCGTTTTTCATTTCCGGCGCATAACTGGGTGGTATAAACGGGTCACCATTTGGTGTGATCTCTTCAAATGTGTATGATTTCGGATTGTAGAAGTCGACCGGTGTCGGTGAGGTATGACCGTAGGTGGGCAGCAGATAGGAAGGTTCGTTGAGTGGCGGCGGTGGTGGCGGTGGTGGTTGTGGTGGTCCACATTGCAGCATTCGTGGTGCTCCCATTGCAGGTAAGCCTGCAAAATCTGAAATACACAACACTGACGAACTGATTCACAACACAACATCGATGGATGTCCAGCTACTGGTTGCCATGAAGGCCGAAAATCATAGAGCTTTCGCTATCCCCAGAATTGCGTCTCGCTCACACCATAAAAAACAATTCTGTCCCACTCTAGAACCTCTAACCACCATTTTTCTTCAGAGCGGAAAGAGGCTCAACCGGATAGCCACGCCCATGAGGGCGGAGTCACACCATGAGGCTGATCAATTGCCGCTCTCTCTCAAAGAATAATAATCCATATCTGTGGGCAAGGGGGGGGGGCTTCGACTGCAAGATTCCGAATAGGAGAGTCAGAATCATACGTTCAAAGGTAGTAGGCACGATTGCAGGAGGTAGCGGATTTCGCCACCGTCATTGGTGGAAGTCTTGCGAAAGGACGTTTGGCCACACACCGCTCAGCTTTCCACCAAAAAGTCTTTGCGACAGACCGCCGCCAGCGATCGTGCTCACTGCATTGTAGAGGTATAATTTCGACAGGGGACTATGCAGATGTAGCCGGGCGTAACGCCCCATTTGTCCCCCAATCGTCACTGTATTCCTTAATTAAGATGGATTGAAGAAGGACCGAGGAGGGACATCCTTAAGGCAGAGATTCCGCGATAAGTGGAAAAATGGAGGAATGAGCTGTTTCTCATCCCCCCTACTCTTTCCCTTGTCAAGATAGTAAAGAGAAGAGAAAGGAAGGCAGAATGGTGCTCCCGCCTATACGACCATCATGAGTTGCACCTTATTAGGGATTTTCGGAAAATTGCCGTATTTCAAGGACTTATTTCGCGACAGTCAGTTGAGACCCATAAGCATTGCATCTTCTCCACTGGTGTTCATCTCTTCAGCATATCAAGGGGGAAGGAACGCACAATGGGTGTGGTACAAGGGTCATGAATCTCCGTCCAATCGAATGCGCGGCACGTGCCTAGAAGCATCACAAGACCGAGATTCTAGACGTCTGCCACTTGTGCCACCCTAATCCCTGAAACAAATTCCAACCTGGGTCATGGTACCAGCAGCTTCAACACCTTAACACCTCAAAGACTCACCATAGTTCACAGCTGGATTGATGGCAAGGATGCGCGCATTTTGCTGCGCGTGTGGATGTCCGAGTGATTGTGGCACTTGTTGCTGATGGCCTTGTAATTGTGACATAGACATTCCATAGTTCACCTCCATTCCGCGACGTTTCATCTCGAAATGAATGGGCGGCGGTGCTCCTTGATCGTAGGCACGTTTTTGGGCCTTAAATTTTTAATGCTTAGATGGGCAGCAGAAAGTGAATGGCTTGATTAGGTTGCATTTAAAAACACACTCTAGGATGACTGAATGGGCAAAGAAATGGGCGGAGAGTCACAGCCACTGCATACTCTTATAGGTGCACTCCAGGCGCTCCTTTACCTTCCTCGGAAACCGAAGAGGAGCACAGCACCAATGAGCCCACCCGCTGCTCCGCCCATTCAACCAACATGGAATGTCTCATTAATTTAAACGTTGGTTTGTAATAGGTTATAAAGTTGGCTGTGTCATAAAAAGCTGAAACCAGCCACTATGATCTAGAGAAAGCCGGCTCATTGCATTAACAATGCTGACGGTACGCTGCGATTGGTTAGGACGCCTACTGGGTTGCCACTGGGCGGAAAGCTTGCTGAACTGTGACTGGCTAGAAACGTGCCCAACTGTGATTGGTCAAAAATGGCAAGACCCGCTGTTATTGGTCTGAGTGGTGAGCGCGATCACTTGACCTATAATAAATAAATCATCTGATATATATAATGCGTTAATATATAAAATATTGAATGAAAAAATGAATAAATAAATAAATTTTACCTGTCTCTGTTGGAAATCGTGCATTGATTGAGGCGATTGTGCTGGCAATTCGATACTAGTCGCGTTATTGCAACGCTTCTTCGCACACATCGCTCCCGTCATATAGCGGTTCTCGAAAAATCTGTAAAAAATGACTGAAGGTAGTGATAAAATATTGGTTTCCTTTTTCAGTAAATCGATATTGATTCAACCAGGCTATAACACTCCTTTTCACTGATATCTATTTATCACTTGCACACCTACCCGTCAGGGTACACACCGGGATGGGTGAAACAAGACGTCAGTACGCCCCCCCCCCCCTTCTTCCTCTATTCGACCCCTTTTCCCAGAGACCATCTTCCGGAAACCTCCCAACTCCCTCACTCCCCATTAGTTTTTTCGATTCCCAAAGAACTTTTCAGTTTTTTGGAAAAAAGCCAGCATCCTGCGAAGAGGGGAAGGCTGGCGAATCCTCTGTCACAGCCAAATACGACCCCCCTCCCAAGCGACCAAGTACGAACACCGAAGAGGTCCGCTCAGCAGTGCTGTACTTTGCTGCTTGTCACCCTCTGGTTGTTTCCCGCCTTTTGCATCCAATCGATATCTATATTCACTGTGCCAGCTCAAGATATTCTCCTCAGTTAAATGAACATTCCACTGTAACGGATGGGCGGGACTCACAACAACAGTGCCGTACTCATTGGTGCACCCCTCCTTCACACGAAAAAGGGCCGGCCAGTGAGGAAGCGCAATGGTTACGAGACTCTGTTCAGTGTGTCCACCCTGGCTATCCCTGGAACGGATCAGTCACCCAGAAGGTCCTTACAGTAAATACACTCCATGTCCCGTAGATGACGAGGGTGTGACTTCGTACTTCGTTTGAACGTGGCATGGCTGCGCTTTCGGTAGGACGTCGCCGTTTTAGAACCCATACGGCTGGTGTTTTTGTTCAGCACAAGACAACGACAGTTGGCTCATTCATTTAACCCGCAAAAACGCATCGCCATGTCCGAACGAGGTATGGAGCCACGCCTTTCCCATATACGGGATATGGAGTGTACAAGCAATTGGCTCATACCCTCCATAGCACTAAAAACCAACAAATCGTCTCAATAGTTACAGTAGCGCCCCACTCTTTCATGGGCATTCAGCTTGACCATCTACGGTAGCAGAACCCAATGGCAGGCACTAATTGGCGCTGGCTGCACTTTGAGTTATTTAGTCCATTGGAGTAACCCAAATTTCGAAAGTCCCGCAATATTACGGTAGCGTTTGTTCTGTTTCTCACCTCTTATCTAAACAGACTAGACAAATTTGACAATCGGGCATTCTGCAATCTTCACATTGATTACATCCGACACGAGCCTTGAATGTGGGCGCGTCTCTCTGAAAATACTCATATTCCTCAAATTTTCCATGGCTTCGAACCTTAAAAATGGCACAGTCCACGCACATGGAATGAACGTAGATGTGGGCGGAGGCACCCAACTACTGGCTCTCCCCACTTGATGCATCCCTTTCTAATACGATGACGAGAAGGAGAACGCAAGGAAGAAGCTACGAATGACTGCGATCTGAGCCCTCGGTTGGGGGTGGGGCCGTTGCCACTTTGCCTAATTCTTTCTTTTGTGTCGATTAGGTGCAGTTTATTCTAGTCATGTTAACTTAATGAGGTCACTGTTTGTTCAGACCGTAAACCCTTGTAAGTGTGCCCGGGTAATCAGATTGACTCACTTTGGTCACAAGAATTTACAGGTCTTTACAAGGTGGCCTGTACAGGCTTGGCTGAGCACCATTCGACGTCCCCATTAAGCCAAACTATGCCATGGATCTACTCCCCCATTGCATCAGCGTGGACTTGCTCTTTAGCGTCTGCTATAGTTTACCTGAGTCTGTTTCTAGAAACACGCAAACACCTGCCTCTCCGATACAACTCTGTTTCTTGACGCCTGGTCCGCCGAATTGTGGGCTATCTTGGCAATAGGTGCACTGTCCGCACGGCTTACACTGACAGCCACGACATACGCCACATCTGAAAGGTGATCAATGAATTTAGTAGGCTGATCGATTAATCGATTAACTTATTCAGTTTCTGGTGTACTTCAAGAGGCCGAGGCACTGCGAGGATGAAACACTAAGGGGTTTTTTCTGCACACTTAATCGCTTTTTAAGCGGCGGGCCCCATTACATGCCTGGACAGATTTGGAGCAACTAGCCAACTCCGCTGGGAGACAAGGCCTTTGCCAGCCTCTAGCCTGGGCGAGAGCTGGCCGGGGACTTCAAACCCGAGCGCTGTGCTCTATGAACGGCGGGCATGGAAAATTGCGCCACCCATCACCCAGAAGACGGAAAAGGAATCGGGGGGGGGGGGGGGGGGGGGGGGGGGGGGGGGGGGGGGGGGGGGGGGGGGGGGGGGGGGGGGGGGGGGGGGGGGGGGGGGGGGGTATGTAGTTCGCTCATTAGAGGTGGTAAGAGAAAATCGCACAGATGCTGAACCACTTCAGAACAATTTCAATCTTTTTTCGTTTTTTCGAAGAAGGGGTTTAGGATGGTAAAAATGCTGATTAGGTAGGTTATGGTACTCCCCTGACCCCATCAGGTTTGATGAAGTACTACCGAGCAGTACGAAGGTTAGTGTCTTAAAGGTGCCATGGTCCGGCTATGCCATGTAGACTCGAAATGAAGGGAGAAGAGCGGCATCCTTATAAAGGTGACCCCACCAAACCGATACTACTCAGGGCACGTCCTGCCCGTTTCGGAGAACTTCTCGCAAATAGACCCCGCCATCAAAGCTTCTGCTACAACCCCCATCCCTTACCCTACCGACCATCCTCCTGAATTTCCCAACTTCTTACCGCCTTCCGGGAGTTTTTCCCCAAGAAACTGCTAGCAGCACCCCCAACTCCTCCTCTCCCCCTTGGGGAACAAATACGGCGAAAGCCGACTCTTTCCCTCGCTGGGGATCACCAGCTACGACGTACACAGGTGGTAGCCCACAGGATGACCTTTGAGGGAAGACCCTTGGCTCGCCATATGTAATTTTTCAAAAAGCCAACCGCTACTAATTATGCCCTGTCCTTGTTCTCTACTCTCTTGAATTCGACCTTCATCTTAGCTTACTGTTCTTCTCATTAAAACGAAGCTGATCAGCTGTGAACACACTGCCCATGATTTTGAGCTGATTTCACAAGCATTTCCGTGTCTAATCTGTACAAATATTATTATAATTTTTAGCCCTTCACATATTGATTGGGGAAATTTCAACAAGCAAGAGCCACGTCATTCAAGGGAAGGGGGCATTTGAAGGACCCTGTGTAGAACTAGGATTGCAGCAGTACGAATGGGATCGCTGCACTTGAAAGTGTCCTTCCGCCCTGAGCTCTTAGACAAAAAACCTCATCTCCATCACGGAAGTCACAGCTTTGCACAAGGGATCCCTGAAATGCCCCCCTCCCCCCTGTTACGATGGTTCAGTGGGATCTTTTCCCCCCTTATGCCTGAACTCATACAGTGAGGGGAGGTCAGGTGTTCTGACATGTGCCCACATGAAGAAACAAGTTCTCTATCAAGGCTTGGTTGCGACTGTTTGTGACTACCCCCTCCCCTCCAAGGATCTGCGCCCTAGGTCCTCTAGCTATTTTACAGCAGCTCTATGGAGATCCTGGACTACTCTATCAGCCTCCAACAGCGCTGAGCCACTCAGCTTTCGGACTAATACGTCAATATTATGGTGAATGGCATCAATTCCGTCATACTGATAGATTAGAATATCCATCATTGATCAATTTCCCGAATTATTGATCGCTTCGTAACGATACGGACGGAGCAAACGATTGCAACGTTTCGTAATGTGATTCACTGGCTGTGCGGAGATGAAACACTGTCTCACAATGCATTAATCAACCGTCAACATTTTGTAGAAATGAACGCGAAAAAATCAATATATTGATCGACGGACCTTTGTGATCTGTTCATACTTGAAGTGATTGGCGGTTGTTGTTGAATATGTTGCGATGGTTGTGGAAACGCTTGATGCATACCATTTGGACCCTCCATTACCATCATTGGACCCATCTGCATCAGAGTGTTCATCACACTGTAAAAATAGAAACCGATATTTGTGATCATTTTACCGATCAATATCAATCAATATGCGACGAAGTTACAAGAACGACCAGCCGGCTGATCTCGAGGAATGCCGAAGAGCAAAGACTGCTGCAACACAGCAGCGCTGATAAGAGACGAAGCGAGAAACGACACCAACATAATATCAGGAATCAATATATCGATCAGCAGGAAATCAATGAAGAGGGAACGGACGTTTCTAAGAACCTTCCATAATCGCTATACAGCAGCGAGGCCGTCAAGATAAATCAAATTTGAAAATCGGTGGGATACGGTAGCGAAATCCAGAAAGGCGACGTTATAGAATCAAAGAATTCCTTTGATACAACCTCGTCAATATAATAAAGTTCGAACCATGACGTAAAAGATATGGCAACAATTGTGTAAATAGAGATGTGGATTACGGTAGCTAGAGGTCGCAATTACACCAAGAGACTGGCTATGATGGAGTACTGTAGCATGATAGACTGAGACGAACAGACTTGCGAAAAAATCGTCTCAGAAACTGAACAACCAGTTAACTGTAGTGAATAACGGAAGAAAATGAAAGTACAGGACTTTCACGTTAGACAATGAGGCCAGCGTGCAGAGAAGTAGAGTACACAGTACGTCAGAGACGCAGGGCACTAGCACAGTATCTGCTTGAGCTTCACGAATCGTGAAATATCATCACTGATGAGCAGCTGGATGATTTGTTCAAGTCAGATAGTCGAGTGGTAAAAGTACAGATCGTTTGATCGATCGATTAATCGATTGATTCGTCTCCGTAAAGGACATTGGTCCGGTCACATAGTTATCGACATCGTAGCTGATTTTCATATTAAGCAATTCAGATTCAGGACTACAGATTATTCGTACAAGCACAATTCTGGGTGGGAAAATGTGGGTCTTATTATTTATTCATAAATATTACCACTATTAACTATTCATAAAGGATTTATGGAGTGTAAAAGGATCTGTTCCTCTAACGGATTACGGTGCCCTGGAGCGAATGGCTCGTAGATCAAATGCCTCTGCTTCTCTAACATTTCCTGGACGTCCAGAGAAAGAGAAGCAGAGACAATTCCAGTCACCAGTGATTTCCACTTGGTTGAAAACGAAAAGTCAACAAATAGGTCACCCAAGTACCGACTTATTAAACAAATGTTCATTAGTCAAGTGCCAAAGATACAGAGTTTTCCAGACCTTCTGTGTCTCTCAACTCAAACTTTCTGTCGGCGAATCGGATGGTAGCGTGTGCACGTATTTTTGTCCTACTAGGATATTTTTTCCTTAGAGAGAAATCTGAAGAAGAAATATGCGGACGCGTACCTAAAATGTTTGAAAAGTTTGAAAGTGTAGATGAAATTCACTTTCATCTACCTCATTGGAAGAGGGTTACGGTAATAGTGAAAGAAAAGAAGAAGTGTCAAGTCAGTACTCTGCGTCTCCAGCTGAAAGGGTTCAAGAAATCGGAAAGGCGGGAACTTTCCATTCACGTAAATCAAACAGATCCTTTTTGCGTGTTTAGCGCTGGGCGTGGTGTGACCCGAAAGAATAAGACGCTGGAAAAGCATCACTGGAAAGTTCCGGTGCCACCATTCTGATTCCCTTGAACTTCCTCTGCGTCTCAAACCAGCATAGATATTTTGGGGAAATGAAAATGAAAGCAAAATCAATGTTCATAAACATGAGTCATGAAACTGATATTGAAAGGGGATATAAGTTAGTTACTTTCGAAAATAGAAGGGAAAGTTAGTTACTTTCAAAAATAGAAGGGAACTAAAAGTTCGATTTTCAGTGGGAAGAAAAAGAAAAGAGAAATCATACTTCAAAAGCCAAAGTGAACATCCGGAAAAATTCCACTACAATTACGAGAGGAGGCGGCAAAAGTTGTCGCCCACCGGTCGTGGTCGCCCACCCGGAGAAAGGTCGTCATTGTGGACGACGAGGACGGTCGAAGAGTGTAGATGCTAATCTTCTGTAAGAATAAAGGGGACCGGTAGTGACATTGGTTGGAGTAGGGAATGATCGCTGGCCGTTCATTTGATGGAGCAACTAACATCACGCGGGCAGCACAGCCAACAGACCAACGCCACTTCTATGTAGGCCCAAAGGCCAGGCAATCATGCGCCACACAATCATATGTAGAACTAATCAAATCACGAGCCATATAGTTTCAAAGTGATTGCCCCCTTTCCAAGCGAAGCCAATTTCAATGTCAAGATTAATCGCCATTACGCCGACGAAGCACGGTCAATGCTTCTCGCTAAATGACTAAAGTGCTCCCTCAATAACCCATAACGTCGAGGTTGAAAGGGCCAGAAGGCGCTGGATAGAACGGAAGGGAGGGAGCGCTTGAAGAAGGGGTACCAAGAAGGGGGTTCAAAAGAGTGGCTTCTATCTTTTAGTGGAAGGGTTAGGGAAAGCCGGGTGAAGCCCTTATAACGGTGAGGAATACTTTCTCCCAGAAACCCCCTCCGACCTCTATTCGCACTCTGCGAAATAACTCGCCGAGCGGGATAAGTAGAGCCCCTGACGGAAGCCAAAAAGAACAAGAACTCCTTGTTCTTTGATTCAGCTCCAGCCAACAACGTTAATATCCTTCCTCAATCCCCCTCTCTCCTATTGCATACCTCTTTGAACACCACATACCACCCTTTTGTACACTTTCGTTGAGGAATCTCCAGCACGCGGTGTGACCTGGAAGTACGACTTCGAGCATGCGACAGAGCACATCGTATGCGAGGAAAGGGGGTCAAGACGAAGGGGGGGGGGAGGTGCGCTGTTGCGCTTTAAAAAAACATTTTTTTCATTTTCGGAAATCGGTTACTTTTATCAGTAAAGGCAGAGTAAGGACAAAGGTGACGTACGGTATTCAACTGGGCTATGTTGATGACAAGATTAGCTCAGAGAACATAAGAAAATCACAGATAAATGTGGTGACGAATTCATGTTATTTTTGAAGGCTCCGACGACTTGAGATATGAAAGCAGCATTTGGTGGGAAAAAGCGCCGCTACCACAAAGATGGTTAAGAGATCGGATCTCGGATTGGAGTCGTGAACCGGAAACCCCGGACCAAGACACTTTGCACCTCAGTGCTAGAACTTTGTATGATAAATGAATACTTGGCACATCCCAAAAGGGAACAAGTGGTTGCTTGAAGGTGTCTGAAGTCAGTAACCTTTTATGGCGCAGGAAACGACGTGTAAAGGGGAGTTTCTGGAGAAACAATATGTGGGGGTGAATCCATTTGCAGCTCACCGACGAAATCGACTGATAGGTGGTAGAGCAGCCGCTCGATATCTATTCGTGAATTTCACATGTGCTATTTGGGGGTGCTGAATTTTCAAATGACATCAGCTTATAGCAGAAATGAAATAATATAATACAAAATGTTTGGCCATACGCCATAGAGAGGTATTTTTGGGAGTAGAAACCCTATTTCTCGAAGATGATTAACTATGGCCGCTCTAGAGCACGCCAGACACTATAGAAATGTAAAGCCAAGAAAACGTGAGCAAGAGGCCCAGTCGGGAATACGCCATACACTCACCGCTCGTTCGAAATCGTGGATGTGATCCGAAGGGTGAACACTCGTTGTTTTATTTTCAAGAGAAAAGGCATTGATTTCGATTCCATTCTTGCGATGCTAAGCAGCGGACGTCTTCAACGATAATCGATCGAAATGACCAGTAGTTTACTTTGGCATCTACTTAGAGCTTCTTTAGCGTGAGTGAGCTACAACTTATGAGCTGAGCCTTACCAAGCAGTTCCATAACCACAATAATAATAGAAACAACAAAAAATCGATCGATAATTACAAAAAAATCCTATGAGACCATTATCATGACTGAAAGACTCACACCATCACTATGAAAACTTGCCGGGAAAACTTGTTGTTAAGCTACCCCCAGCACCCATGTGACAAGAGAATCGACATCGACACGGATTACGGTAATGACAGAAGTGACTACCGTAAGCACACACACACGTAATTTCTTCAAGTGAAAACGAAGTGCACTTAATATAATAACAAATGTAAATGAATGCTCGCTGCTCGAGGCGTCGCGAGGACAATGGCGATTGCGGAAGCACCGTACCCACCTATATGAGCGCACTGAATGAAGCGGGAGCAACTCGTGGGACGAGAATGGGACCACTGAGGTATTGATCGATTTTATTGATTAATAGCAAATGGGAAATTCTGATCAAAAACCCTTGAACTTTGGCAGGATAGTGCGGTAATTTCGACGCTGAAGACGGAAAAACCGCAAAAAAATTTCGTTTTCAAACTTTGTTCAGCTAAATCACGAAAAACTGGTAAAAAATTGCAAGTTAAAAAATAGTATTCGACCAAATAAAGCTGTGCAGAGGGAACCTCAGATAGGCTCTCAAAGGTTTTCTAACATGAACATCCAGGAGAAACAATAAACGAAAAAAAGCGCAATAAATATTCGCTTTCCGGGAAACAATTCCATGCGGATTTCCGTGATTACGGTCTTTGCTCGATAAACGTCGACAAAATCGCCGTATGTGGCTGGTATGAAAGGCGTCCGCCTAGATAAAACTTGCAGATCTCGATATCGCGTCTGGATCGTCAAAGCGTTGTCAACCGCCCCAGAGACCGTTGCTGCTGTCGCGATGATCCTGATGAACGCCGGCCAGGGATCGTTGCGATCATTGGGCACCCAAAGAGGCCATTAAAGGGGAGTTCAGGGAAAAAAGACCCATAACGAGTATTACCGCCCACTAGTAATTTCGCTCAGTGGTCATACTAGTGAAAAATTGCTTGGACTTTCCGAGAGTTACTACGCGCTACCCCTACCTACAATCGTGACCTTCAGTATTTCCAGAGCTCCGACTTGATGTGATTTATACCGATTTCTCCCACCACTGACTAGCAATTTCTTACATTCGCGTATGTTTCAGACCAAATTTCTCCATAAATCCCACTGATCTGGAACTTGTTTCTGTGCAAAACCTGTGCCGGAAAGCTTGTCCAGCAGGGAGCAGAGATCA